GTGTTTTACAGTAACGTGTCCCGTACCCTAAGCACTATAAGGCTTTGTCCCAAGGTGTTCACTGTGGCTGGGTGTTCATTGATCATTATTCCCTTACTTTATCAAGCTCCCCACTGTGCCCTTTGTTCCATCGCGGCCCTAAAGCTAATAGGAAGCACAGGTCGGTCGTTCCCGTGTTGTAAATTATCCACACGATTCGGGGCTGAAAGCTTATGAAAAAGGCGAAGGTGATAAATATCTATTTTTTTTTCGTCATTTCTTTTTTTTATCTTATAGTTAATGGATCTGGTTTCTTGTTCTTTATTTTTAGAGTATTTTTTCTTCTTTTATTTATTATTGTTGGGTTTCACTTACGTTGAGATTTTTTTTCAATTACGGATTAATTCATTATGATAGAAATGAATTTTGTTTTTGATCGTTGTTCTGGGAATCAAATCGACTTGATAAATATTTTTTTTTCCTGAAAATAATTTGTAAGTTGTCTAATCTTTAAGAACCTTTGTCCCTCAAAGTTAATATTCAGCTCAACTTAAAATATTTATAGACTTTAATTCAACAAACTTGTGTATTTATAGAAGAAAAACTTCTTTGTTGGAAATCACGAAAAGTTTATATTTCTTATTAATATCTCCCCCCGGAAATTAAATAAACAGATAGTTGAATAAGCAAATAGATAAATAAATAGATAAATAGATAGATAGACGAATAGAAAGACAGGAAGGATGAGAGATAGATAGATTGATAGACAGATAGATAGAAATAAAGAAAGATAAAGAGATAGATAGACAGATAGAAAGAAAGATTCATAGATAGATAGATAGAAAGAAAGAAAGATAGATAGAAAGAAAGATTAATAGATAGACAGATAGAAAGAAAGAAAGATGAATAGACAGATAGACAAAAAAAATGATAGACTGATAGATAAATACACGAAACAAATAAACAAACAAATAAATACACAAACGAAACAAAATAAATTAACCCAATCGCTACGAATAAAAATGAACAAAAAATGGGGAAAATGGCTCTCCCTTACCTGATTTCATTTGGCGGGAAAACGTATTTTTTACTAGTTCTATGAATATCGAGGGTTATTTTTATTATAAACATTATAATTGCTGTAATGTTATAAACATTAGTAACAGCAAAATAAGACAACGTAAAATATTTTCGTAAATTAAAGAAAAGGGTAAACGGGCGAGACAGTCAGTACAAGTACAAGTGTAGCCATCTATGTGTAAAAACAATTAAACAAGTTAATTCACAGTGGGCATGTCACGTATACGTGACACCCGGCGCGAATGGGTTAACATAAAATTAACAACGACACCCAATGAAAGCCGCCAGAATGGCCTTCTAAACGCAGCTCTTTCTCACCCAAAAGGAACAAGACAAAAGATAAAGACAGACGCAGAAGTTCACAGTAAGATCAGAGTACCCAGTGTATTCTAAAGTCCCCTGTGATTCGTCGGGTGGAATAACTTATGTACTTGAATAACGTGTGTACTAGTAGAGTTTAATGTACTTGAATAACGTGTGTACTAATAGAGTTTAACATATGAGTGATGCATTTCATTTTAATACTTGTGAACCGCGAGGTATTTCCAGTCCATCTGGCTCTTGCATAATGTAGTATCGGGTAATGTTCGCGTACCCATTTTCTAAAGCGAATGAATGAGTTAGAGGGATGAATAATGGAATAAAGAGAAGCGTACGAGAGAGAAAGATAAAAGGAAAAGTCGATAGATGAATAATTCAGTAAGTAGAATCGAACGAAGAGAAAAGAGAAAAAAAAGGGGAAGAGAATAGATTTTCAAGCTAAACTATTCTTTAAAGTTTGACCTAAACATTATGAATTAAGAGAAGACAAAAAGAAAAAGAGAGAAAGAGGAAAAACAAAGAAAGAATTATGAAGCCATAATATTCTTATGACGAAAAAGAAAAATATTCTAAAGACTCAAATATTACGAAATAAATGAGAAGTGTACGAGAAGGGAGAGAGCGGGAGAGAGAGAGAGAGAGAGAGAGAGAGAGAGAGAGAGAGAGAGAGAGAGAGAGAGAGAGAGAGAGAGAGAGAGAGAGAGAGAGAGAGAGAGAGAGAGAGAGAGAGAGAGAGAGAGAGAGAGAATGAGAGAGAGAGAGAGAGAGAGGGACGGACAGGTAGACAGACATACAGACAGACACACAGACAGACAGAAAAAAAATAAAAAAGACAGAGACAGAGACAGAGAAAGAGAGAGAGAGAGAAGGACAGAAACAGAAAAAAAAGAGAGAGAAAGACAGAAACAGAGAAAAAGAGAGACCAAAACAAACAATGTAAAACAAAAATAACCAACCAAAGCAAAACAAAAAACAAGATAAAGACTACAAAACCAAAATATCTTTAAGGAAAGGACACCAATATCACGAAGCGAGTGAGCAGAGAGGCCTCCCTCCGTCGCCAGAGGCAGACGGCCAGATGTATTGCAACGCGTCTTTTCCCAAGGATTTGCATAACGGAGACAGAAAGATAGTCTTTGATTCGGACATAATGTCAATTGTACTTTTTATATGACAGACGCGTCATCGGAAAACTATTATTGAGGCGATTTTTGTTGTTGCTGTTGCTATTGTTTGTTGTTGTTGTTGTCATTGTTGTTGGTCTTGTTTAATATTCCTTGTTTTTGTTTTTGTTTTTTATTTTTGTTTTATATCTGTTTGTTGTTTTCGTTGCAAGCATAATATTGTTCTTGTATATATATATTTTTTTTTTGTGTGTGTTAGTTTATTGGTTTACATGATACAAGCTTTTATATGTGTAAGATTTTCTTGATTTAGTTTTTTTTTTTTCTTTTCTTTTCTTTTTTGCTCAAGTGTTGAAATTAATAATTCTTATTCAGTTAACCAGTTACATTTCATGTATTCAGCCAATCAGTTTTTATTAAGGCATTCATACACTTTCCTATCCATGTTCAGTAATGCTCCTCTTAATTCAGTTCAGAGAGAGAGACAGAAAGAGCAAGAGAGAGAAGGGGAAAAGGAGAGGAAGAGAGACAGAGAGAGTATATATAGTTTGTCAGTCAGTAGTCCATCCATCCCTCCCTCCCTCCCTCCCTCCATCCATCCATCCAACCACCCACCTACACATCCATCCATCCCTCCCACCATCCCTCCCTCCCTCCATCCTTCCATCCATCCTTCCATCCATCCATCCACTCATCCATCCATCTATACATCTAGCCAGCCACCTATCCACCCATCCATCTATCTACCTACCTACATACCTACCCATTCCCTCCCTCCATCCATCCATCCATTCTTCCCTCCTCATTCCCTCCCTCCCTCCCTCATTCCCTCCCTCCCTCCCTCATTCCCTCCCTGCTTCATTCCATCCATTCTATCAGTCAATCAATCGTCATTCACGCAGTCAGCTATTTTCTTCATTCGTCCATTCAGTCCATCATTTACTTCTCAAAACAAAACAAAAAACGCCATAATTTATCTGATGGAAAAACGGAAGGTGATCGATCATAAAACGAAAGAAAAAAAGAAAAAAAAGAAAAAAAGGAAAAACGTTATCGTTGCTTCCTCTCCTCTCCTCTCCCCCCTACCCCCTCCATTCCCCATCACTACTTGGTATGATGTTAGTAAAAATCAAAAGTATTTTTATTTCTTGACCTCAACACCCACTAAAAAAAAGAAGAAAAAAAAAAAGTTTTTCCATCACCTAAATAGGTATGAAATAATAAAGTAGAAATAGAAAAGTTAAATTAATGAATTAATAAAAAAAAAAAAAAAAAGAAAGTGACGCGGTTTGCTCAGTTGTATATGTCAGGCCCTGGTTGAATTAAGTAGTGGGAACTCTATGGGCTCATTCGCCAGATTTCACTAACTGAGGGAATCGTAAAACGAAAAACCAAACGCTGACCAGGATATCATAGAGCACGAATAGATTAACTTTTCTGGTGCGACTGACCTTTATACTCCACAACATCATCAGTATTAATATGCAAAGATAATTCAAAATCATTTGCCTTTGAAACATGGGCAAGAATTCATGTGCGTGCATCTGTATGTGTGTGTGTTCGTACATGTGCATGTTCGCGTGTGTGTGTGTGTGTTTTATGTGTATGTGTAAGTGTTGGGTGCGCGTGAGCACATATGTGTGTACTTGTATATGGGCATGAGTGGGTGTGCGTGGGTGTGTATGAGTGTGTGTACGTGAGTACGTGTGTGTGTCCGGGTATACGTGTACGTGTGGGTATGCATGCGTGTGCGGGTATACGTGTGCGTGTGGGTATGCATGCGTGTGCAGGTATACGTGTTTGTACGTGCATACGTGCGTGTACGTGTATGTGTACGTGTGCGTGTATGCGTATGTGTAAGTGTATGTGTACATGTATGTGTGAACGAGGGTAACTATGTAAGAGTTTGTTCGTGTGTGCGCGAACGTAGTTACACGTAAGCATACGTGTGTTCATGTGAGTATCTAAAGAAATTACCTAGTACATTTGCATATAAAGAGTCAGTCATCAGCTCTCACTTACGATCCCTTTTCTTAACGAAAAAAATAGAACACGTATTCTGTGCCATTACCCTTGCATCTGATATTAACCCAGCCTGGTGGACGCACAACCCAGTGTCTCCATCGGCCGGTCCCAAGCCCGGGTAAATGGGGAGGGTTGACGGCAGGAAGGGCATCCGGTCGTAAAAACTTGCCAAACCGTATTGAAGATGCGGATACATAGGAACAGAGATAAAGCCAGAGCATACCCCGCAGGCGACGCGCAGCAACGTCGCTGCACAGCTGCGAGAAGTGGACAACGGCAAGGTTAAAGAAGAGGCAAGGTTAAAGGAGAAATGAGGAAGAAAAAGGTAGAAGACAGAACGTTTGTGGTCGCAACGCTGAGCGAGGGTACGATGGCCGGAAGGGGAAGAGAAGGGGTGGATGTCATGGAGAGGAAGAAAATGGAGTGTTGTGTGTAAAAGAAACGAGATGAGGAGGGCAGAAGGCCAAGGAGATGGGAAATAGGTATAAGCTGTACAGGATAGCGAAACAGAAGACCAAGGAAACTCAGGACGTGTGCCAAGCAAAAAGGGGTAAAGATAATGAAGGACAGGTACTAACAGAAGACACATAGATAAGGGAGAGGTAGAAGAAATACTATCAACAACTGATAAACGTAGAGAACTCAAGGGTAGAACGGGGGATAGAAGAAAGTAGAGGAAGTGAGAGAAGAAGAAGTGACAGCGGCTATGAAACGGATGAAGAGGGGAAAAGCGATAGGACCGGATGGCATACCGGTGGAAGCGTGGAAGGCTGTGGGAAGAACGACAGTAGAATGGCTAACGGAAGTGTTCAGAAAAATCATGGAGACGAAATATATGTCAGCTGAATGGAGAGATGGCACTCTAATACCAATATCTAAGAATAAGGGTGACATCCAGGATTGTGGAAACTACCGGGGCATCAAACTTACCTCACACGTGCTAAAGATGTGGGGGAAAATATAGACAAGAGGCTAAGGAACAGGATGGAGGAATCGGAGCAGCAATTCGGCTTCATAGCCAGCAGAAGCACAACGGATTCAATATTTGTACTCCGTCAAGTAATGGAGGAGTACAGAGAGGAGCAAGAAGAGTTGCACTGCATCCTTATTAACCTAGAGAAAGCGTATGATCGGGTCCCAAGACAGGAGGTGTGGTATTATCTGCGGCTAAAGGATGTGGAAGAGAAATACATCAGGCTGGTGCAGGAGATGTGTGACGGTAGCAAGACACTACTGAAATTTGCAGCGGGTGACACAGAGGAATTCGAGGTCACGGTGGGACTGCATCAAGGCTCAGCGCTTAGCCCTTTCTTGTTTGCAGTCATTATCGATTGTGCGGCGGAGAAGGTGCAGAGGGAAGCCCCATGGGATATGTTATTTGCAGACGACGTTGTGGTGAGTGCAGAGACAAAGGAGGAGGTAGAACAGAGGCTAGAGTTGTGAAGAGAGGCAATGGAAGTAAGAGATATGAAAGTGAGCAGGCAGAAGACCGATTACCTGAAAATGAAAGCAGGGGACGAAGAGGAGGGACAGAAAGAGGAAAAGATAGTGAAAATGCAAGGCCAAGTTGTTAAGCAAGTGGAAGAAGATAACAGGTGTGATGTTCGACAGAAAGGTTTTAGATGCTGTGAAGGGGAGGGCGTAGAAGACGACGATGGAGGACAGGACGGAGGCAGCAGCTGTAACTGTCATGTCATCTCATTTGCCAATCTGCAATAGTTAGTGTAACGATTGTTCGCGGGCATGACGTCACCGCTGACTGTGGTATAACTGCATGTGCAGCTGCAGTGGTAGGCCTAGGCAAGGTGGAAGGTCTTTCCGGCAGAGGAGGCCGTGACGATTGTTACACGGAGTGGTAGTCCCGAGATATGGGTCACTATAGTGTCATATCGGCTGCTGATAATTTAGTTATAATTGAATATACAAGGCATGTTTATATGTGTAGCAATTTATCGCTTTGTTTTTTCATTGTGTTTATGTAAATTGGGTTGAAATGTTACATTTCCACATGGAGATGGGAATAAAGGTCAAATTCTATTTCGTTTTTGTTTGTTTATGTTCTTTTAGAACTGTGGGCTGATAGTCATAAGAAGCTGTACTGTCGGCACTATTCTAAAGAAGGAACCAGCGAGGAGACTGGATGCTGGTCAACATTGTGTAAAGTAAATGAACAATGAAATAAAAGTGAACTGTGATAAACATTGAAAAGATTCAGAAATTCAATTAGTGAACGGAATAGTCCTTAAAGATCCAATTCGTAGAATGTCTGTGTGTTTATTCTGCTATACTCCGTATAATATAATTAAATATCATTACGTCTTTTTATATACAACCACCAAAAGCAATCACTCTCATTTAAAACGGTGTCTTAACTATGCAAGCAAACCCTCACTGTGATAATTTGTATCTTCACAGTAACAAAGGCGCAGGAAGGAAAGATACAGGTTGCGGATATGAAAATATTAAGAGGGTCGCTGGGACTCACAAGACGGGATAGACTGAGAAATGAAGAAATATGAGAGAGGTCGAAAGTAGGAGGAATAGCAAGAAAGCTACGGGGAAATAGATTATGATGGTTGGGACACGTCATCAGGACGGACAATGGCGACGTAGGACAGAGACAGTTACAGGTAGGAAAGAGGAAAAGAGGAATGCCGAAGAGAAGATGGGAGGATTGCATATAACGAAGATAAGAAAGAAAGAAGAATCAACGAAAGAGAGGCGTTGGACAGAGCAGAGTGGAGGAGAAAAATCCGCACCGCCGACCCCGACTAGGAATTAAAGCCAGAAGAAGAAGACTGTTGAATCTGATATTCTTTGAAATTCTAGATGTTTCTCTCTCACTGCACTTTAGTTTATTGAAATTAAGCTAAAAGGAAAACAAGGTAAAATCCGAGAAACAAATAAAAGAGTGAGTTCTGGTGTTTTAATGGGAGAGTGACAACGTGCGTACACACGGTGCAATATAATCATCTTTACCTTTAAATATCAGGTCACAGGTCACTGTTTTAGTTCCCTGTCGTAGGGAGTCCGTTACAAATTTCAGGAAAATGAAATAATCACACAAATACACAAAGGGAGACAGCACGTTACCCTGACGAACCCTGAGCCTACCCTCTACCCCCCACCCCCCCAGGTGTGCATCCTTATCTTCGAGGCAATTAAAAATCCACCAGTTGTTGCTGTTCTGCGCGGGTATGTGTGCCTTATTTCTAAGTGTTTAAAATACTTATTTATCAGGCCTTTCTTACAACTCATAAGGTAGTTTTCAAGGTCAGCGCGATGCCTTATGCAGGACTCTTGTTTTGCCTCGTCGAGTCTAATTATTCTACGGCTGCAATCTCACCCGCGTGCAAGTTGGAATGCAAATCTGATCACGACAAAAGGAATATGTCCGTCATTTTCCTTCACCAAAACGGCAATACATCGTAATATATTATTTAATGCATTAGTTCAAAGAATTCAAAGGAATGCCACGCACTCCCTGGAAAAAAATATAGATAGATAGATAGACAGACAGATAGATAGATTAGATAGATAGATGAATTGATAGATAGATAGATTGATAGATAGATAGATAGTCAGGAGAAAAAATCTAAAGTAAAAAAAAATAACCTTTTAATCCCTTACCTCCCTATCCTAACCTTCCCCCTTTCCGCCCCCTCCCCCCCCAAAAAAAAGAAGGGGGAGGGGGGCGAAGATTCCCTCACCCGAAAGGCAAGATGAAGGAAAACCCCATTTCCTCCTTCAAGAAAGTGACAAGTGTGGCTCCTTCCACTCGTCAACGAAACCTATACATTACGCCGTTCACTGATTTCGGGGATATTCCGGCGCGAAAAAGAAGGAAAATGAAAGAAAAATAAGTGAGAAGGGGAGAGAGAGAGAGAGAATAAGGAGGGGGGTGAGAGGAAGGGAGGAAGAGAAGGAGAGAGAGAGTCAGACAGGGGGGGGGGGGCAATGGAAAGAGAGAGAGAAAGGAGAGAGAGAGAGAGAGAGAGAGAGAGACAGAGACAGAGACAGAGAGAGAGAGAGAGAGAGAGAGAGGGGAGGGAGGAGAGAGAGAGAGAGAGAGAGAGAGAGAGAGAGAGACAGAGAGAGAGAGAGAGAGAAAGAAAGGGAGATGAGAAAAAGTGAGTGAAAGAATGAAAGGATGAAGGTGAGAGAGAGGAAAGAGAAAGAGATGGGAAAAAGTGAGAGAAATCAATTAAAGGAAGATGTGTGAAAGGGAGAAAGAAGAGAAGGAAAAGTTGGAGATGAAAAGAAAAGGAAGGAAAGAGAGGGAACAAAATCAAGGAAGAAAAAGAGGAATGAATGAAAGAAAGAAAAAAAGGAAAGAAAAACAAGCTAGCAAGTACAAAGGAAAAGAAAAAGAAAGAAGAAATGAGAGAGGAAGAGAAGAAAGAAAGAAAGAAAATGCTCAGTGATCTCTGCAATTTTCGGAAAAAAATGAAATGAAAGGAAATCAAGAAAAAGAGTAAATAATTTCAAAGAGTGAGAAAAAGCAGAGAAGAGGAAAAACGGGAAGAGAAGCAGGAGACGACGAAGAAAAGGGATGTTAAGTAGAATAAGGAGAAGATGATGAAAAGAAAAATAAAAGGAAAAAAGTGAGAATATAAAAAAAAAAAAAATAGAGATAACAAGAGAACGAAAAAAAGAAGAAGAAGAAAAGGGAAAAGAAAATAATCCTAAGAAAAATGAGAAGAAAGAAGAACAACAACAACAAGAAAAAATGCAAGAAATACCCAATAGTGATCAGAGAAGGAACAGAAAAAAATGGGAAGATGAGAAAACCGATAATCCTCAATCATTTATCCACTTTCTTTATTTCCTGGCAAACGAAGAAGACGAAGAAATGGAAAAAGAAAGAAGGTAAGAAATGCTAGTCAGTTCTCTTGTGGATCACCCCCCCCCCCCGCCCCCATAAAAAAAGGGGGAGAGGAGGAGAAGCGAGAGAGAGGGAAAGGGAGTGAGTGAGAGAGAGAGAAAAAAAGAAAGAGAAAGGGGAGGGAGAGGGAAAAGAATTGGGAGAGAGAGAAAAAAAGAAGAAGAGAGAGCGAGAGAGAAAAGGAGAGGTAAAGGGAATGAGAGAGAGAGGGGGGGGGGAAGAGAGAAGAAGAAAAAAAAGAGAGAAAGAGAGAGAGAGGGAGGGGGGGGGGGGTGGAAAGAGAGAGAGAGAGAGTATGAGGTGCTTCTTGTCACAGCTACCCACCAATTATCAGGGTCGTGTTGGTTAAACGCACGGTCCAGTTGTATGTTTTATTTGTGATATATATATATATATATATATATATATATATATATATATATATATATATATATATATATATATATATGTGTGTGTGTGTGTGTGTGTGTGTGTGTGAGTATATATATGTATATGTAAATGTATATATATATATATATATATATATATATATATATATATATATATATATATATATATATATATATATATACATATATATGGAGGAATTCCCCCGGGGGAGGCTGCGTCCGGACGGGAGCGAGACACGAGGTAGAGTGATTGTGTGGGTCAAGGTTGCGGGAACAGGTCATGACAGATGTGGGCGTGGCTTGGGTCAGTAGGGCGGAGGTGCCATCCTATTGATCAGCCCTGCTAGTTGGAGGGCGTGACAATGAAGGCTCTTGACCACTCTGAGAGAGAGAAAGAGAGAGAGAGAGAGAGAGAGAAGAAGAAGAAGAAGAAGAAGAAAAAGAGAAACAGACAGACAGAAAGAGAGAGAAAAAAGAGAGATAGAGAGAGAGGTGGGGGGAGGGAGATGAGAAAAGAGTGAGTGAAAGAAAATTGAAAGAAAAAGAAGAAGAAAAAGAAAAAGAAGAAGAAGTAGAAGAAAAAGGAAAAAGAAAAAGAAAAAAGGAATAAGAAGAAAAAGAAGAAGCCGAAAAGGAAGAAGTAGAAGAAAAAGAAAAAAAAGAAGAAGAAAAGGGAAGAAGAAGAAGAAGAAAGAAGAAGAAAAAGAAGGAAAAGAAGAAGAAAAAGAAGACCGATTCCTCATGACGCTTTGTATCCTTTCCTCATCTCCTGACAGTCGTCCGTATCGCAGCCGCGCCGGAGTCGTCTCGCGGGAGGCATCGATCTCCTCTTATCGCAGGTCCAGAGCCAGGGGAGGGGGGGAGGGGTGAATGGGTGGGAGAGGGAGAGGGTAGGGTAGGAGAGAGAGAGTGGGTGGGGGGGGAGAGGGTGAGTGGGGGGGGAGAGGGGGGGGGAGAGGGAGGGAATGGGTGGGAGGATGGGATGGGAGAGGGTATGGTGGGGGGTGGGTGGGTGGGAAAGGAAGAGGGTAAGGTGGGTGGGTGGGAGAGGGAGAGGGTAGGGTGGGTGGGTGGGTGAGTGGGAAAGGGTGGAAGAGGGAGAGAGTGGGTGGGTGGGTGTAAGAGGGAGAGGGTAGGGTGTAAGAGGGAGGGAAACGGAGAGGGTAGTG